TTTCTGCAGAGGGTGAATAAGAGGGATGCGCCGGATTACTATAACCGTAAGTTGCCTCCAGGCAGACAAGTTTGATTCGGATTGGCTAACCACCCTCGGCACAACGTAGTCATCAAGCAGCCAATGGACATGGGATCTATGACCAAGAAAATCAAGTCCCTCACGTATAAATCGAAGGCGGAATTCGTCACCGACCTAAACCTGATATGGGACAACTGCCTGCGCTACAACCAAGATATGGGACACCCTCTGAGGCGGATGGCCAATGGCATGAGGAAAGAGGCCGAGAAGCTTATTCCTCTCATTCCGGACCTCGTCATCAGACCGCGAGCCGAGGTCGAGGCAGAAGAGCGCCGAAAACAGAACGGTGGCGAGGAAGACGGCGGTGACGACTCGGACGATGAACCGATAATGTCATCTCGCGGTCGTACTGCCGGAACCAAGGGCGCCAAGTCTCGGAAACAACCCACCGATCAGAAGGAGGGCACCCCCAGTGTTGACCAGAAACCGGTGCTACAGCTGAATGGCCTCCTGGCTAAGGGCCGAGAAGGTTCTGAAGCAGTTGATGGCAGCGGATTCGGTACGCCAATCGGTGGCTCGGCAACGCCTGGCGGTGTCAATGGACATTCGGGCATCGGAAGCAATGCTGACGCTATGGATATCGATGGGCCCACGTTGAACGGCATGGCCTTGGGGCAAGCTCTCAATGAGGCTGCAGAACAGGCCTATGAGGACGAAGAGTACAAGATCTGGAAGCAAGTGACGAAGAAGGACCGCGCACTCATCGCCAAGGAACGGTATCAGCTTTTCAAGGACAATAAGCTCAACACCGACGCTCCTGCTCTACTCCGAAATAAAGCCGGCATTCGATGGTATCTGAGGGGGCAAAAGGAAGCTGAAGCCCTGGGCGTCATTGGCCAAGCCCAGGCGGACTCGTCTGCCATTGCTGCTAAAGAGGCTGCGAAGCCTGCCGAAACTCTGGCTGAGGGCATGGAAGGAGAAGAGGAAAAGATTGTACCAGCATACTACGAACCTCTGACAGTTTTACCGGACATCCAGCCAAAGCTGCAGTGGATCGAGGACGGCGAGGGCCATGTCATCAACCAGCATGAGGAATATCTTCGAATGATCCCCGAAGGCCACTTCAAGGCGCCTAAGAGCAAGTTTGCCAGCAAGATCGACAGCAACATCCATCAGATCCAGGAGACGAGGAAACTATCGAGCAAGATCGGCGTGATTAAGCAGATGCAGATCCAGACTCAGGTATATACAGGCGTCGCCGGCGGGTGTATGAGTGTTCTAACGTATGTGTTCTAGGTTTATAATAACCAGTTTCCCAAGTCCAACTACGAATCTTTCGTGGAGCAAGATGCCGAGCCATCCTTCATCGCAGATGATGGCCCAGTCATTGCGCCAGAGACTTGCCGTAGTGCCCTTCAGCGCTCCGTAGCCAAGATTCTCTACCACACCGGTTTCGAAGAGCTTCAGCCCTCTGCTATTGACACCATGACGAGCTTAGCATCTGACTACTTCGAGAAGATCATCAAGACCTTCAATGTGTATCGCGAGGCAGAGAAGATCGAAGCACCGGTATCCCGTGCCGAAGGAAGCTCTCGATTCCAGTCTCGCTTCACTCCCGAGGAAATCATCTTGCACACACTCGATGAAAACGGTTGCGACCTGCTTAGTCTGGAGTCTTACGCCAAGGACGAAGTCGACAGACTCAGCACGAAGCTTGGCGGCATCCACGAACGTATGAAGTTCCATTTGACCGAGCTTTTGCGGCCTGCCCTTACCCAGGAAGCCGGACAAGATGGTGTTGGTGCCTTCAAAGACGGCAGCGAGCAGTTCGTTAGTGGTGACTTTGCTGAGGATCTCGGCGAAGACTTCTTTGGTTTCAAGGCCCTTGGTCTGGACAAGGAGATGGGCTTGGATATGCTCTCGGTTCCTCTTCACTTGCTTCAGTCCCGTGTTCGCAACCAATTCCAGATGCAGACACAGACGGTTGGCGCGGAGGTCACCGACCTCTTCGAATCCTTGCCGCCTGTTGAGCCCATTACGACGGAGAACATCCACGGCCAGATTGGTCTCGTCAAGAACTTCTTCCTGGCTAAGCTACACGCTAACGGCGATACGCCCTTGATCGAGGACGAGGAGCTTCCTGTTAAGCAGAGGCGGCCCAGACCCCGTCTTGGCGCATCTGGAAAGATTGTCTCACCGCAGAAGAGGCCGCCCAAGGAGCAGATTGCCCTCGCTAAGAAGAAGAAGAAAATGGAATTGGCGGCGCAAGCCAACAAGGATGCCAATGCTTCTCCAGAGAAGAAGGGCGAGACTACACCGGCAAAGAAGGTCAAGCACGCAAACATCAATGGCACCGGACCCAATCCAGCGGCGATCGCGTTGCCTCCAAGCATGGAGCGGAACGAGAGCATGCAAAGCCAGGGCAACGCCAGTCAGACCGATAAGGACGAGCCCATGGGCATGATGAGTCCCGAGAGTATCGAGAGATGAGACACAAGGACATCATGAGACTTGCGATTTGTCATACCTATATATACCCATTTTCCGTACACAAACATGGTGACTTATTGGCGATCCTGCCACCGAGTCCCGAGTGGAACCGGGTTTCCAACACCACCCTTTCAAAAGTATGTCGCGGATGCCATCGAGACGGCTTTGGATTTATCAGAAGCAGTCTCTTTGCAACCTCCCAAATCCTCAGACATTACTTGGCATCGTACACCTCTCCAATATACGTGTTTATGCACACTCCCTTATTCATTTCATCAAACATCCATCGGCGTTGAGGTTGGATCGTCGTTTCGTGGTTCAGGAAGGGAAGATATAATGCTGCACAAAGAAAAAAACCCGAAATACATAGCTCGGCGCGGCTATCACTAAGAAGACTGGGATACCCAAAAGCCAATTAACTGGCCGTCATTCAGGGGGGGAATCGTTATCAGAGAAGAGACCGAAGATGTACGGTTTGGTTTCTTGTCGTTTTTCAACAGTGCAAGGGTGGATTTGAAGATTTCCTTATCCGTTGGCGGTACTGCAGCGCGGAAGATATTCCGCCACGGACTAGAGAAGGGCGGGGGAGGTTTATTTGGTTAACGAACTTTTCTTGTTTTTATCCATTTCGTATAGTACAGACGGGATCGCCACCCTTCATGACGGAAAGGCGGAAGAAGCTTAGGTGGTTGTCTCTTTTGCTTCCCTGTCTTGTTGTTTCGGGATGAGGGTGAGACGTGACGGGGACAAGAAGACTCTGAAGCTTGGACAGATGACGGACGAGACATGGGTATCCGCACGTCTTTCGTCATGACAGCATTTTGGTTGATCTTGACTATTCCTCGTCTTTGCGTCGCGTGGGGCTTCCATGGCAGGCGTAAAGTATGGAAGCTTTTTCTTGTAAGATTGTTAAATGGGAACGCGGGGTGGAGGGCTTGGTGTGGAGGACGCATGCTGCTGTCTAGGGTTTACTTCGTCTTATTCTCTCTCTCTTTGAGTTTGTTGATACGATTGCGATGCGATGCGATGCTCGCTTGGGAGTTGATAGATGGCGTGTTTTTTATTGACCAGTCGTAGTAGTACTTTTTTTGGTAGTTGTTTTTTTTCTCTTGTAGTACGGCCGCTGCGGTTGGGCTGAGATCAGATCGAATCGAAATGAAAATATGATCAATGAGTCTGGCGTTCCTTCTGTTCATGGGGATGTGTTTGAGAGATGTTGGTCAGTATTGTGGTCCCTGAGGTTTTGGGCTGTTGCTGTTGGAGAGCGTAGTTGCGCATCGATGATCTTGGGCTTTGGGTCGTGTGCTGGGCCAACCTCTTCCTGCTCGGACATTTACGGGGTCACTCCGTAAGCAAGATGGAATCGCTTAGAAACCTATCAGGGAGGAAGATAAGCATAGGTATACGAGGGAGGCAGTAGGCGACTTTGATGAGGCAATTACGCAAGGCTCTGAAGAGTTCAGTACAGTCATCGGGGTATCATTTCTCATGAAGGGATGGATCCCTCCAGCTCCATCACATACTATTCTACATTGCCCTATCCGTCTGCTCTACGCAACCCCAAAAGGGCCCCGAAAGTTGCCGCGATCATGGGACGCGATACTCGAGGAAGCCCTATCATCTTCGTAGCTGTGGCTTTATGGCTGTTGAGAAGTGATAAAGGACTGGTTGCCCCTGAACCCGAATTGTATCTGGATGGAGCTTTCTGACTGTCTCTCTGTGATTCGTGTGGCCCAACCATTGAAGCTTGATGGCGATGTCATTTTCCGCGTTGGCATCTTTGGGCTTTCAGACTGCGCCGCTCATGCGTGGCACTGGCTTCCTGTCTTTCTTTGCTCATGGGATAGAGATGAATTGTCATCCTATCGGCATCGAGGGTTTCTGAGCATAGGCAGGCTGGAACAAGGTGCCGATATATCAAATTGCGGTTCTCGTCGGTGGTATCAAGTTATCAACTGCGTCTATCGTAGTACACATACTTTAGGCGCTGCGATGAAGTGAAGGGCCGGAGAGATATCGAATGGGGTAGGCACAGATTTGGCTTTTCTCCCAGTCGTGACAGTCCTGGTATAATCTGTCGATTCAAGGGCTCGTCCTACTCTCAGAAAGATATGTTCAGCCAGTGTAGGCACTGATCCAGCGCGTTCGGAGCGCATGACAAGAGTGTTGAATACTGCCAAGCAATATCTATCGAATCAGCGAGAGAGACATGTCAAGCGACTGCCGATGGCATCCCGTGACCGAAAAGAACCATTCCTCGCCTGAATTTCTCGCAAGAACCACGGCATGGCGTGTCACTTGACACATCAAGTAAGCGCACAGGTGTCTAGACAAATCAAGGCGGGGCTCATGGTCGATGGTGACACTCATGCTGTCCTGGAACTATCGATCTACACGATACATCCCGAGGATACGGTCAAATGACAGAGAGGCTTTCATGTGCAAGATTCATAGTCAATCACTTGGGTGATTCAATGGTACTGGCTCTTCTATAAATCCTCAACGCATTCGTCTTCCTCGCCCGGCGTCAAAGCCTTGACATTCGGCACCGGTAATTGTGATTCGGCCATAACCAGCATCAACTTCTTGTGAAACAAAGACTCCGGCCCACCAATGAGCAAAAGTGCTTTCTGAAGAGAGTGCAGTACATCTCTGGCCCCCAGAAGCATACTATTGCATCCGGGCTGTAGGGAGCTAGACAACCACGTGTTGCAAGCTAGGATGTCGATGAGAGCATCGGCAATACGGAATACTTTCAGCTCCTACAGGAAAGGAAAAAAGGGGCAAAATGTCAGCGTCGGCGCGGCCAGAACCTCGGTAGTGTGATACTTACTAGGCCATATCCGTGGGTCCGAATGGCCTGCTGAGAAACAGACCCGAGCAGGCGCATGGCCTCGTGGGCAACCTTGGCAGGCTTCAGCATGGAGAGCATTGCATCATCCATGCGGCTAGACATCTGGTAGTGGCTCAGAGCAAACTGCCACCAGAGTATGTGGATCCAGTTCCCCGTCATCAGCACGTTCACTCGCTGGGTCTCTGGGAGGTTGGGGGCCAGGGCCGAGAAGTCCTGCTTGGCCATGGCCGAGAGGGCGCTGTAGAGATTGTCGGCTTTGCTGGAGCCGGGTGTGACACCCCCTCTATCTGCCGCCATGACTATGTTATCGTCGAGTAGGGTGAAGAGTTGAGCGAGGAGTTGGAAGGAAGCGTCCACTTCGCCGACTCCTTGGATGTGAAATCCGGAGAGCGGGAAAGTCTGAATTGGCTTGAGGCATGGTGGGAAACAGTTCTGCACGCAGAATGTCCTGTTTCTTCTCTGTCAGCAATCCGACCCTCCATAGAGAAGGCTTATCGACTGAACCGTCGCCAGTATGAAAGGGGAGGAACTCACCTCTCAGTTACAAACACCAACCAGAAGATCCGCAACAGCAATTCTCTTTGTTCGTCTGCGAGACTGACTAGTATCTCTGGACGGTGTAGGCTTTGCAAATGCAATTGAGCAATTGCCTCATGTAAGTATACCGTGGCTAGCCTGATGCGTTCTGTATTGGCGAAGTAGATGTGTAGAAAGAACGCAGTCAGTAAAGAGTCTGTCGTGTCTTCCTTGTAGTAAGTGCTTTGATGATGCTGATTGCTCAGATTATGCGAGAGTTGAGCATGATGTGCAAAGCTTTCCGCAATGCTGTTGTCATCTGAGACCAAGTTATGCTGCTTGGAAAGCCGCAATTGAGATAGTCGTAGCTGAGCAATTACCGTAGCACAGATGGCTCCAGCTAATGCCCATGCATCGTGATCATCCAGCGAAGCACTGATCCGGGACTTTAGGGATTCCACGTTGACGACGGGCCAAACACATGTTAGATGGTCTCGAAACTTGTCCAGGTATTCGATGTAAACCTCCAAAGGGTTCTTCTGGGCAGTACTATCGTTCTCCACACCGGGAGTTGACGGCGATCTGGGGCTTTGCGTTGGTCCACGAGCCGGAAGAGGGAGACCTGATCGATTCTGCCGAATCTGCTCCTGGTAGTTTACCACCTTGTGAGTGGTACTCAATCGAGGCCCCTTCGGTCCTCTCTTTCGTGGAACCCGGAGAAACGTGCATTCGACTGATCTTTTTCGGCATTCGTTGCAGGGTGGGCTGCTTCCTTGTAAGTGGCATCGTACTCGCCGAAGCGAGCATCCATCGCAGGGATAGTTCGTACGCTTCTTGCCTTTCTCCATATTCCGGTTTCAAAGGCGATGGTTACATGAGATGTCGGAAAAGTGAATTATGAAAATAGCCAAATTTGGTTTCAAGTCTGGAAGACTGCAGTTGTCTTTCCTAAATACCATTTCAGGCGAATAAATCAAGCGACTGACTCTTGTGGGGGGTATGGATACCCGGACGCGGATTCCCTTTTTCAACCCATCGGCTCCGGGGCCCCTCCTTGTCAAGGTCATCGGATTTCCATGGGTAGCTAAAAATTCCACGAGAATTTAACCGGGCATCAGAGTATCGGCCTTGTCGCTTGAACTTTTCGCTTGAAATATCCCCGGACTAACCCGCATTATCCACATGGAACCAACACTACGGCCCTTGACGGCTAGGTTGTCCGAGACCCGAGTCAACCACCACCTGATTGCCATGAGAAAAGTTGCAAGTCAATGAAGTTCTCCAAGACTGCGTACGATCAAGAACCACCGATGCGGGTTGCACGTCGGACGATGTTGGCGCAAGCAAAATGTTTCTAGGAAAAGGCGGGTTGATGATTTTCTTCACCGAGGTCAACCCACGCGAGCAAGAGGCATCAAGATAAATAGTTCTTCATGGTCCCGAATTTGGAAACATGTTCCCCAGATTTCCCCGGACTTTACTACAACCATCTCCATCTTTCCCTGTCATCTTATCAGCTGTCTAGAGTCTGTGCTACCAATGGCGACCACCCCGGCCAATGTCGAGACTGCAAATGCACTCACAGATCCGAGTGCTGCAGAAAAGCACGGCAAACATGAGCCGGTACTTCTGGATCATGTAGCCCACGATGCTCAAGCGGCGACAGAGGGCCAAAAGAACATGTCGGTCATGGAGTCCTTCCGGGCGTATCCCAAGTCTGTGGCATTCTCAATGGTCCTTTCTCTCTGCATTGTCATGGAGGCATACGACACCTCACTAATTGGCAACTTCTACGGCTTGCCGCAGTTCCGTCGAAGATTCGGAGTGCAGTTGGAGAACGGCGACTATCAACTGACATCAACATGACAGTCGGGCTTGCAAAACGCTACTCAAGTTGGTCAAATGATTGGGCTCTTCGTCGGTGGCATCGTCGCGGAACGCTACGGATACAAGAAGACTTTCCTCGGTGCCCTAGTACTTAACATCGCCTTCATCTTCCTCTTCTTCTTTGCGCAGAATATCGGCTACCTTCTCGCAGGAGGTCTGCTTTGTGGCCTCCCCTGGGGTGCCTTCCAAGCTTTGACGACAACCTACGCCGCCGATGTCACGCCCATGGCCCTTCGACCGATCATGACGACTTATACAAACATGTGCTGGGTCATTGGGCAATTTATCGGTACTGGTGTCCTGCGAGGACTCCTTTCTCGCCCCGACGACTGGGCTTGGCGTATCCCCTACGCCATCCAATGGGTGTTCCCCTTGCCCATCATGGTTGGCGTTATGCTCGCACCCGAGAGCCCGACTTGGCTGGTTCGTAAAGGCCGTCTGACCGACGCTCGCAATGCTCTGCAGCGACTAGCGAGTTCCTCGACAACAGATGCTGAACTCGACGTCAGCATCTCCATGATCGCCCATACAAACGAGATGGAGAGACTGAACTCGGAGGGAACCTCATACATCGACTGCTTTCGCGGCACCAACCTTCGCAGAACAATGATTGCCTGCTTCGTGTGGGTGGGACAAGTTGCTTGTGGCGTTTGGTTTGGCAGCAACGTCATCTACTTCCTTCAACAAGCTGGCTTTGACTCGGACAACTCATTCAGCTTTGGTCTCGGAACTAATGCCATGGCTATCGTCGGCACCTTTCTCTCTTGGTTCCTTCTCCCCCATGTCGGACGTCGAACGCTATATGTCGTTGGTCTTTGCATCATGTTCACCGTACTAGTGACCGTCGGCGGTATGGGCATTCCGGCTCCCCGTCCGGATCTAGGCTGGGCATCGGGAGCCTTGTTGATGGTCTTCGTCATCACATACGACATGACCGTGGGACCAACTTGCTACTGTTTAGTCGCAGAAATTCCTTCCACTCGACTCCGAATCAAGACAGTTGCTATTGCCCGCAATGCCTATCTTCTGGCTAGCATCGGCGCCAACTTCTTGAACCCGCCTATCATCAACCCCAGCGCCTGGAACTTGAGAGGAAAGGGAGGATTCATCTGGGCAGGAATTTGCTTCTGCGAACTGGTTTGGGCGTACTTCTGTCTTCCTGAACCGAAGGGACGCTCCCCAGCTGAGCTTGAGATGCTGTTCGAGAACCGCGTGAGTGCACGCAAGTTTGCACAGGCTAAGGTGGAAGTATTTGCAGACAATGTGGAGAGAGATGAAAAGCACGATGGACCGATGGCGGTCAACGTTGAGGGTCGGTGAGTAGAGAGAGTAACTAGGGAGAGTCGCTGTCAAATACAGCATCATGAGCTTGACCGAACCGAGAAAGTATACGAATACCTTCTTCAATATTCTGCCAATGAGACCTTTGGGTAAATGATCTTCTGTGTTAATGAATGCAACGAGACACTTGGCAAGTCACTATTGATGGTGATCGGAGGTGTAGATAGACACGGCAGCGATGTCTTCAAGATCGGTTAGGCAGAACAAAAACCCAGCACAGGCATGATGAAAGTCACATCCATCCATTCGTATTTACAATCTAGTAGTCGTTTACAGAAGTGACTTCCAACGACTCAAGCAATTACTGCGGCCGCGAAGTACAATTGAAGTGTAATACGAAGCAGTGTCCGTTAATAACCAAGCTGATGTGACAACATCAAACGCCCCGGCTCATGGTTCCACGAAACAAGCAGAGATCTCAGACCTTGTTACCAAACCAAAACTCCGACCCAATATCTCCGTAGGGTATCATTACCTAGAACTCCTTTGACGATAGACGATGTCACGACTGCTCGTACGCGAAGAGACACGGGCTCGACAGCTTAGAAGAGTGTGGCCCACGCCTATACATGCAGTGGGGTAATCTGCGACTTCCACTTCTTGCCTTGAGGCCGGCGCCCAATACGTGCGACCTCTCTCTCCGATAGCCAACGCTCCTCGCGCTGTAGTTGCTGCTGGCGTTGCAAGCTGGGGCTGGGGCTAGGACTTTCCGAGCCGCTGGTGCTCTTGGGAGTCATCAGCCTCGTTCTCTTTGCAACACGAGGTTTATCCTCGTGTTCCCCAGCCCCTTCGCGTTTTCTCTTGGTAGAGAGGAGAGACTTTGGCTCGGCATCCTTGGGCGGGGATGGATTCTTGGTCGAATGCTTGGCCGGCGCCTCCAGAGGGTGAGAAGAAGCGGGCTTGTTGTTCTTTGAGTCATTCTTGGTCGGTGCCACTTTGGATTGCTCTGGCATCAAGAACAGAACATCTGGCATGTGCTTTTCGATATCCTCAAACCAGTGAGAGCACAGTTTCTTGAGAATTGACTTGAAACCCCGCTCGCTGAGGTAGGAATGGACATTGTCTACGTCGGGATAGTACTCTTCGAGGAGGTCCTGGCGCATCTGGCGCGGGATCTGGCGCCAGACAGAATCTTGAGATCGAACAAACTTCGAATAGAAGAACTCGAATACACGAGAGTGGGCGGCACCGGGAAAGTACTCCTTGCTTCCAGCCTCGGTCTTCTTGCCAATTCTAGCTGCAAGGCAGATGATAGCCAGACTTCTTTCATTGAGCATGGTATATGAAAGCTGATAGGAGGACATCTTGAGTGGTGAAGAGATGGGTTTGTGTTGTGAGAAGAGGAAGAGTGTTGTGTGAGAGAAGTGGTTGTATGAGGCGTAGACGAGTATGGTATGTACAAGAAGAGACTTTGCAGAACGTAGAAAAGTGTATGAAATGAACAAGAGTGTGGTGGATGCTGGGCGAAGAGAAGGAGAATCCATGGGGGATGGAAGGCGGTTTATATTAGTCTAGATGAACAATTAGCAGAGTACCGTGTTGGTCCATGGCATCTACCTTGGGTTATTGGACGGCAAATGTTCGACCTGGATGTCGGAGTGAGCAAGTTGGACAACGATGCCTCCGCGGCAGAGTCTGCGATATTGAGCAGATCATTGGCTGACCGGGAACCTTAGTTGGTTGAGTTTGAGACTTTAGGGGTTCACTGGCTATGTAAAGTCTGTAGATATGCCAAACAGGTATGATAGCTACGTCGAGGAAGACTCTAGTCCGGGATTTCGTCTTGAAACTGTATCTCCGAAATCGTTCTGACTATTCTCAGCCGCGATGGTGTCCACGAGGCTCAGGCGACCTGGGACTCAAGGTTTACGCCACCAAGCGTCGTGCCGTACCGTTACGACCTTACCCAAACGTTTGGTCAGGCATCCAAGAACGAGTATGTTGGCCTATGAAGACGACATGTGCGGGCTAATAATACTGCTAAGCGTATCATACTACGCTTCAAGCAAGACTGAGAAAGTCATCAACTGGAGTACATTCAAGCATGCAGTTTCGATATGAGAAATCGTAGGGTATGAATAGCAAGTAGCATCTGCTGTGATATGAATTAATTGTTTCATCATCTACAGATCTCTAAATATTTGGACTGTGACTTTGCTGGGGGAAGGGGGCTTATAGCCTTCGAGTTCAGGGTAACAGATCAGTGGATTAAGCTTAAATGCCTTCTATTATTGCCTCATTCGAGAACTCTGGGCGACGACCAAGGTACCTGGGTTCTGACCTGGATTTGACCGAACAGATGTCAGCATATCTGGGCGGACTAGACAAGGATGGCCTGGGCCGTCCAGGCATCATGGTACATTTACATTGAATTACCCAAGATCCGAACGTGTTACAGATGAATTGGCTCAGGAAGATGCGAGCATCGAATTGCCATGCGAGGTAAAAAATCAAACGCCATGCAGACAGTAAACCGAAGGATTCCTGTCTCAATGGGGTGACCGACCTCTTGATTCACCCCTGTCCAAACCATCTATTCTACACGAACTAGAAGATCGAACTGAGAGGCCGTGGAAAAGGAATGCTGTTCCAGTCTACAACTTGTCAAGTTCAGTTGTTT